GCCAGTAAACTGCCTCCTAGCCCGTGACATAAAAGCCTGGGAAGTTTCCCATTGTTGGGGCAGGGAGCCTGTATTTAGGCTTAACGAGATCCTCCTTTGCCAGTGTCTGACCTTCCCCAAGATGTAAACCACAGCAGTTCAGGTAAATTCAATTGTGTAACTCCCAGGTACCTATTTACTACTTGGTGAAAAGTTGAAAGGAAATGTGCCCAACAATCTCTGTCCTGTGGGAACCGAGGCCCTGGCCATTAGAGTAACCAAGGGACTGCTCAGGACGAAATATGGTGCACTAAATGCCCTACTTTTCATCATTCCAGTGAATTATAGGGAGAATTGTGTGTTCCAGTTGCACTGCTAAAAATTTGCACAAATACTGTAGATTCAAAGTTTTATTTCTAACACTTAGTAGTAGTACTCACCTAGTTGTGTTTGCGGGGGTTGAGCTCTGGCTCTTTGGTCCCGCCAAAGGTAGTGGTAATGTTGGATAGTCATAAGAGCAAATTTTGAATTTCCATGTTTTAGAAATGGGTAAATTGGTTTCTCATACCATCAGTCATGCCCCCCCCCCCCCCCATTTCCCTCCATAAAAAATACAAGTTTGATGGGGCTCATATTTATCTTTTTCTTTTCAGAACGTAAGCTTTATTATAAAATGGCTGCTATTCCTAGTAGAGTGCGTGTGTGTATAGTAGGAGCTGGTGTAGCTGGACTTAGCGCAGCACAAAAACTAACAAAGTTTGGAATTGAAAATTTTGTTGTTCTTGAAGCACAAGATAGAATTGGAGGTAGAGTCTTTACTTTGGAACATGGTAAGTAGCTAGTAAAAGATCCACATCTTTGATTGTATTTATTTATCTACTCTTTATCTGAAATTAATAACTATGGAAAACTCTTAAATGCTATTGTATAAATATTTGTCTTGGCAAGTTTACTGAAGCATGATATGGAGTACTTTCATGCTCTTACCAGTTTTGATGAATGCATGTGACGTACAGTACTGTATATAGATTATAAAATAATCGTTAGTTAAATTTTGTGTTACTAGATAACTAAGAAGCTGAATAAATCCACAAGGGCTGTGATGAGGGTTCGAACTTACGTCCAGGATGATCCCAGATGCGCCTTAATCGACCCTTGTGGATTTATTCATTTGATATATCACGCTATTGTGATTTATGTGTGTAACTAAGAAGCTCTATAATTCAGTATTAACATTTTGTTTCTTGCTTGTTGAATCATTCTCTGAAATTTGTGAATCTAAGATCATTATAAAAATAAAATTAAGTTGAATTTTTGTCTGCAGGAGAACACCACTTGGAAATGGGAGCTCAGTGGATCCATGGTGAGGAGGGCAATGCTGTATTCCAGTGGGCATCAGAGAATGGTCTGGTTGATGAGGACATTTCCTTAATGCAAACAGGTGCATATTTATTGTTTTTGAAAGTAGCATTAATGTACAGTAGATTAAAAATTTCCCAGCATAGTTGAACATTTGAAACAAAATCTCTGTTTTGCCTGAATTTTGATAAATGTTATATCCATGGTGTACCTCTACCAATGTTCATTTATTTACACTGTTAGTGTGTGTAATTATTTTGTAAAATTGCTGTATATAATAGCAGCAACGTCAGATAAGTACATTTGTATGTGCTTATCGTATGCTGATAAGCTTCAGCATACGAAGCTGTGACTTGTATTTTTGTCTATCAGATATAGACAAAAATACAAGTCACAGCTTCGTATCATCCTTTGCAGATGACACAAAAATCAGTATGAAAATTACCTCGGCTGAGGACATTGAAAAACTTCAAGCTGATATTAATAAAGTTTTCGACTGGGCATCAGAAAATAACATGATGTTTAACAGTGATAAATTCCAGGTACTCAGGTACGGTAAAAATGAGGACCTTAAACATAATACAGAGTACAAAACACAATCAAATGTACCCATAGTAGGAAAACAGCATGTAAAGGATTTGGGGATAATAATGTCTGACGACCTAACGTTTAAGGAGCATAACCAAGCAAATATTGCGACAGCCAGAAAAATGATAGGATGGATTACGAGAACTTTCAAATCCAGGGATGCCATCACAATGGTTGTACTCTTCAAGTCACTTGTGTTGTCCCGTCTTGAGTACTGCTCAGTACTCACTTCCCCCTTCAGAGCAGGAGAGATTGCTGAAATAGAGGGAATACAGAGAACATATACGGCACGCATAGACGCAATAAAGCACCTAAATTATTGAGATCGTCTCAAAGCCCTCCAAATGTACTCACTAGAAAGAAGACGAGAGAGATATCAAATAATATACACCTGGAAGATACTGGAGGGCCAAGTACCAAATCTACACAGTAAAATAACAACGTACTGGAGCGAACGATATGGAAGAAAATGTAGAATAGAACCAGTGAAGAGCAGAGGTGCCATAGGCACAATCAGAGAACATTGTATAAACATCAGAGGTCCGCGGTTGTTCAACGTCCTCCCAGCAAGCATAAGAAATATTGCCGGAACAACCGTGGACATTTTCAAGAGGAAACTAGATTTATTCCTCCAAGGAGTGCCGGACCAACTGGGCTGTGGTGGGTATGTGGGCCTGCGGACTGCTCCAAGCAACAGCCTGGTGGACCAAATTCTCACAAGTCAAGCCTGGCCTTGGGCCGGGCTTGGGGAGTAGAAGAACTCCCAGAACCCCATCAACCAGGTATCAACCAGGTATCAACCAGATAAGGAAAGGAGAAAGCCTGCCTTAGAGCCGTTCATGCCCCCCATGCTTTTTTTTAGCAGTACAGTACCTATGTTGGCAACAAGCATGCGTCTAGATCCAGAATCCATCCTTGTAGCAGTGGCCGTCCACCTTGGTGCTCCAGTTCACACTGGATACAAGTGTATTTGCAACAGGGTGGTAGTAAACCAATATGGACTGCATGGGCTGCACTGCAGGAGCTCCAAGGGTTGCCATGCAAAACACAGTGAGGCTAATGACATCATCAATGAAGCCTTCCTCCTCTTAATGCCATGATGATGTCATCTTGATGATATCAGGAGTATATTGTGTTGACTACACACAGTATACCCATGGAAGAGGGAGCAAATAGCTGGTGTGTGACTACACATGTGTATCCACCCTCCCTGACACCTATATATACATTGGTGCTGATCATGCAGGTGGGGGATTAACTACAGGGAAACTGCAAAATAAATCAAGTACAGGCGACTGGAAGGTCAATACACCTTTGTTCCCATAGTGTCTGAGACGCTCGGCCCCTGGGGTAGGAGGGCCTTGGGGTTTCTCAAAGAATTGGGTTCCAGGCTCATGGACATCACCAGAGAGAGACCCAAGGGCTGCCAGTTTCTTATTTCAGCACCTCAGTGTGGTGATCGAGAGGGGAAACACCTGCTGTGTCCTCGGTTCCTGTCCGGAAGCACAGGAGCTCCAAGAGATCCATAACTTTTAAGCACTCATAGTACTAACCAATGTACATCTTGTAACCTTTAAATATCTAATAAAGCAAAACAAAACACAAAATGAAGAGATGGTAGGACAAAAGACCATGGGAACTGAACTGGAGGGGACCTAAACAGAATCCCCTCTAATGCATTGTGTGTGATTTGTGGGCTCCTACCAATACAGGCCCAGGACCTTTATGTGGAGTGAAGGTCAAATGAATTCAGATTCACTTCCAATGTCCTGGTTCATGAGTAAGTCATGCTGGGTCTGAAGGACTAGAAGGTGGCACTGCTGAAATTTGTGTATGGTAGATGAAACCAAACTCCAAACTGGGTCCCATAAAAGGGACCTTAGGGGTAACAAAGGCAGTAGCTGAAATTGGGATGAGGGATTATAAAGGGTACCAATCTGAAGGGACAGCCCCTCAGATTTTGGCACCTATTCCCAACTTCAGTTAAATACAGTGGTACCCATTGACCAGTCTCCTGTACCTCCATTCCCAAGATGAAAAGGGGCCAAAGACAGAGCTCAAAACTACATCCAAAGCCAAGGAAAGGATGGGGAGGGAGTATTTGTGCTGACTATTTAGACCTTAACCATGCTGAGAGAGTGGCCACCGAATGGTCCCACAAACACACGATGGATGCAGAGGAGAGACTTTGCTCCAACACCACCATCACATCTGCCAAAAAATTCTCATTCAAACCATGAGAATGCTGCACAAATGCCTTGGAAACTGGAGATGCCTCTAGCCGAGACCTTTTATTAGTTCTTATCAAAGGCAGAGGTGAGGAGGAAGCAGGAGTAGATGCTGACTGAACAGTCCAAACTCCGGTCCTAGTAGAGGAAACAGGGAAAGGTCTGGATTTTACACATTTGCATCACTATTTTACCCAGGTTTGTAGTTGATCTCTAGTTCTCTGCTCCCCTCACTTCATAGGGTGAGCCAGATTCTGATTCTGTCAGTAGGCAAGGAAGGTCTTGGAGGCTGGGTGTGTTGGGCTAAGGTACAGTGGTATCACAGTTCAGTTTTGAAAGATATGAGGGCCCACCATTAAAAGGCATTGCATTACATTCAGCACTTGGTTTTTTTAGTATTTGATTACAGTAAATATTTATTAGGTTATTTAATTGGATAAATTAAAGGTACAGTATATGTTAGACCAAATGTTCATAGTATAAGTATTTGTTAGGTGAAGTTCACTGTACTATCTAAAATTCTTTTATCTTATAAAAAGATAGACTTTATTAATAAAATATTTTTTCAGGAACTGGAAATACAGTTTTTATACGACAGTCTGGTGAAATAGTGCCGGATGAAGTGCAAGAGGCATTCTTCATGACTATAGCTAACATCTCTGAAAAATTGGAGAAGGATTACTCCACATTTCACGACTCATTAGGACAGTACTATAAAGAGAAGTAAGTGAAATATGAAAATGATTTAAGAGAATCAGATTATTTTTAGTTTGTATACATTGAGAATTGATGAAAAATTACAGGAATTGGACACTAGGGTTTAACTATTTATTGATAATGTCAAAATGTACAACTTACTCAAAATTTGTACAGTATTATCAGTGTGGCTTATAATAATCATGGTACTATAAAATTTCTTTTGTGAACAATCTCGTGCTCCCTAGCATTGCTTCAATTCAGGGTTGTTCGTTCTGGCATAGTCAAGGGGTCCCTGTTCACCAGACTCATCATCTATGAGATGAGATGTTTGGGTTCCTCCTCTAAGGGTCAAATTCTTTTTGGCTGTCCCTCCTTCAGATAGGGTTTGGGTTTTGGTTGCAAATGCTTGTACATGAGTAGTAGTTAGTGTATGCTTGTGAACACACTATATATTGATTCACGGGGTAATGTAGTTATCATCAAATGATGATTTAAACCATTATTGTCAGGGTTTTACATGTATGATGCAAATAAGAATATAATAGCTCTGTGGATGTAATGGAGTTTACTTTGACTCTTGAATAAAATCCTGTCATCATTTCATGGTTACATTATTATGTGAATGCGAGACCATCGCTCTACCGTCCAGCCCAAGTGGTTGGGTAATATAAACTAGGAACATTTTCTTGTTTAGCAGTGTTGGTGTGGAAGGATGGCTGAAACTCCAGCAGGTGCCTTTAATTATAAGAATGTCAGTTTTCTGGACACCCATATGACCACTCATGGCTGATAAGATGGTTTGTACTGTACAGCAATACTGTGCAGTATTATATAGTTATGACACCCAACCCACAAATCTGAAAATGAAAAATTTATGATGTTTTGGTCCAACCTGGACCCTTATTAAGTCATGTAATTATATGACTTAATAATGGTCCAGGACAGACCAAAAACATCATCAAATCTTCATTATTAGATTTGTTGGTCTGTCTAGTCTTCAGCCACATTATTGTGACTCATCGTCTGCTTATACTGTATAGTTGTTATTGTGTACATTAAATGGGGTTACTCATATTAGCATCAGTTGTGGGATATGTATACAGTTTCAAGTTTTCCACAGATTCAAAGCAGAAAATAAATGGGGTGCCCTTGGAGACGAGCTTCTGAATTGGCAGGGTCGTTTTCAGAATTGTATTGATGGTTCAGACAGTTGGTTTGATGTCCCGGCAGAAGGTGGTGAACATTACAAGGAATGCCCTGGAAATCCTGTTGTCAACTGGAAGAAAAATGGATACCAAAATCTGATCCATCATTTAAAGGTACTAGTAAATGTGATGACTTTGTCACAGTCTCCTGTGTTATTTATCCAGTCCTTAATGGAGTTGAGACAAGGTGGATATCAGCCTGTACTATATTTATTGCTCCTTCATTGAGTTAACTGGATCATTATTGTTTATTGCTGAATGAGACATGAAAATGCATTACAAAGAAAGTTCTTTATTTTAATATATCTATGCATTATAAGAACATGCAAAAATCTTAAGATCTGTTAACTATTTTAATCTGTATCATCAACGTAATTGGTTTTCTTTCATTCTTAGGAAAATTTGCCATCATCTCGTTTGTTCCTTAATACTCCTGTGAAGTCTATAAACTGGAGAACCACGACTTCTAGCTCGTCCTCGGGTTGTAAGGTCACTCTTGCATCTGGACAGGCTATTTATGCTGACCATACAATTTTCACCGCTTCCCTTGGCGTTCTGAAAGTGGTTGCAAAGGAGATGTTCAGTCCTTCCTTGCCTGTAGCAAACTTGAATGCTGTTGAGGTAAGTTATAAATACAATTTAATAAATCAAATTTATAAGAAATATGTGTAATTTATATGTTTTGTATGAATTATGAGTGTTTAAATTATTTATGGAAAATTATTTGTAGATGTACACTTCATATTGTGGTAGAATATTTGGGAAGATAGGAATATTACTGTGAGTGATACGGTATATTTCTTTGTGACCTCATATTTACACCTGTTCCGTCACTGGTGTTTGCCATGCTTCAAGCTACCCTAAGCTTCAAGCTACCCTAAAAAAAAATTGTAAATTGAATTGGTATAAACATTATACTAAACAATGCAGTTCAACCCATAAATAATGTCATGCTTTCCCATGGATATAGTAAAATTTCTGAGAGGCCAGTATGACCTTCTCAAATTTGATGTAGTAGGGGTCTTTCAAACCACCCTCACTAGGTCGGGAATTGAAGAAGAGACACTGGAGAATTCTCAATCCCGCAAGGAATGACTTCCAGAAGGTTCATTCATCTACACTCAAAATACCTCCTCCAAGCCATACTTAGCAATAAAGAAATGGCCAAATTGGATAATAAGTTGATTATAATATAACAGTACAGTGTATGTGATGTCATGTTCACAGAAAATGGTACCATCCGTTTTCTATGTGTGGCGGAGCAGACGCCAGGGAGAGGAAGGTAAACAAGAGAGCGTACAGGACGCCCGCCAAGCTTGGTAGCTACTAGTCATGTAATCATATTAAGTATTAAAGTCAGTAACCAAGTCATGACTTTACATCAACCCTACAACCAAGACTTCCTCAGTAACACACAAACACCACATGTATGATGACCAAACCACACCAGGAGGCCTGAGTCACACTGCGGCCGGCTCCAGGAAAAATCCAATTGCCCAAGTGTTGGGAAGAGGGAGGTTGGACCGGAAGTGATGTCCCAGCATATATGAAAGTGTAGGGAATTTGAAAAGTAACTAAGAGACAAGAAATAAATGTAAGTGAAGGAAAAATTTGGGTCGGAAGAGTTGATATTCCAAAACAGAAGAATGTCGACAACAAAGATGGCCGCCACCACACAGAAGGACAACACATCAACAGGTGAATGTTTTGAAGGATTCTCAGCACAAGATATAATGAAAGGTGATTTTCTTGGCAATTTAGTGATTACTGAAGACCTGCTAAGAATTATGAAGAAAAGGTAATTAACACTTTCGCGCTATCTGGACGCGCCGGCGCGTCCCGTTTCGTCTAACGCTAACGCATAGTGGACATAAAGTTGAGTCCTCTTTTAAAATATTTGTATAAAATTCAATTTTTATCCGATTTACTTTGGGTTTGTTTCAAACTGCGCGCTATGAGGCTCTCTTTCTCACCACTAGGCTGCATGGTACAATAAGTTCATGAAAGGTGTGGATAACTTCGATCAAATGGTATTTTGTCCCAAACGGGTTGCAGGTGGGTGACTTTAGCCGTTTATACTGGTAATGCTTCCCCCATATCATGTATTATATGCATATGTCTGTTTAGGGAATTTTATTCCGATCAATATACAACCAAAAATAACTGTGTGCAACAAGTATAAACTTGACAAACATAACAAAAGTAAAAACATTTCGTGTGTGTTTGACGCTCACTGATATGTTCCAGCGTTGTTTTATATTTGGCGCTATTCTAACTTACGCTTTGTTGATATTTTTTACCTATGGGCACATAGATCATTCTATTGCGAACACATTGACACAAAAATGAATGACGTACATAGAAAATTAATGTCATGAGAGTGAAATAAGTATAAACTTTCAAAGCGCCGTGCGTCGTCCCGTCACCGATACCGGGTAACAATTTCACCACTTCCCACACTCGTGCGGGCGGGCCGCATCATTATTCTACGCTTATATTCATATCACCGTGTTGGGAATTTCATTGCGAGTCCATTGATACCAAAATTAACGCTGTAGAATAAGTGTGGAGGTGATTACAATCCCAAGAGTAAAAACATTTTGTTGCTGATGGGCGCTCACGGCGAGTCATCTTCGTAGTTATTTATTTGGTGCTGGTATCCCTATACGTTTCGTGACTTTTTTTACTGATGTTCTTCTAGAGAATTTTATTGCGAACACGTTGGTACCAAAATGAAATACGTAGCATGAGAACTAAGGTCAGAAGAGTAAAAAGAGTATACACATTTTTGTTTTTACGCTTAAGCGATAAAAACGCAGCGCGCACATTCGGTTGGCTGAGTGACCTTTGCGGAGAGCGCGAAAGTGTTAAATTAGAGCAAGAAACTGAAGGTCTCAAGATTGAGTTTTGAAATTTAAAAAGAAGTATTTTCCAGCAAGGTAAGGAAATGACCAGCATGACTGATAATGTAAGAATACAGGAGGAACACATCAAGGAACTAGTGAAAGATAATGAGGCATGAAAGTGAAGAGTGATGAATTTGAAGAAATTAACAAGCAAATACTCGTGTGATGAACAACTCAAGGAACCCTGAGGGCTAACATGGAGTTAGGCAAGGATATACAAAGATAAACTTCATGGACAACTCGCATAGAGAAGGTTAATAAAGAACTAGAAAAGTACAAAGAGGAAATAAATGAGACGTATGTGCAAGTTGTAAAAAGAAAAAGAGACGATCAAGGAAGTGCTTGGAAGTCAAAGCCAGAAATGACCGACAAAAAGCAGAAATTAGACAAGCAATTAGGAAAGAACTGGTAACCAACAGTATATTAGTACAAAACACTGCAGATAGAAGTACAGTAAGTCCATAATAATTAACAGAGTGGTAGACGGTTGGAACAAGCTAAGTGAGAAGGTGGTGGAGGCCAAAACCGTCAGTAGTTTCAAAGTGTTATATGGCAGAGTACTGAGAAGACGGGACACCACGAGTGTAGCTCTCATCCTGTAACTACACTTAGGTAATTAAACATTAGAAAATTAAGAAACGACGAAGTTTCATTCTGTCCTGGATAATTATCAAGTCGTGTAACCAAACATGGTGTGGTCATCACATTATTGCGACTAATCGTCTGCACAGTTATAAGCAATTCATTCTTCAATAGATAAATGCTGTGAGGCATAATTTAATGTTTAGTTAACAGAATCCATTTTGAACTTAATTTTGTCAATGTAAATTTTTCTGAAAATTGATATCCCATTGCTTTACACACTTAAATACAACAGTCAATACTTAAATAAGAAAGTTTTGTATACAGTACTACAAAATCAAAATGAATCCTGTAATGTTTTATTTACTATTTTAGGGCTTGGCCATTGGTGTTGTTAACAAGATTTTCCTACAATTTCCACATCGATGGTGGGATGACAACTGCAATGGATTTAGTTTCTTGCGCAATCTTGACGAAGAATGTTCTACCATAACCAAGGAGGTAATGTGCTGCTTGGTTAAACAGTTTCTTCATACAATCCTTTCTCCAAATCATTATATAGTAGGCAAGATTTCAGAGGTTTTCTCATTCATATGTTTCCAGTATCAAATCCCACGTGTGTACCACTTCATCCAACTAAAATTGATTTCAGTATATTAGTAGTATTAAAAATCAAGTACTGAATGTATTGAAACTACCCCTTTTATAGTGGACCACTCAGTGGCTCTGTGAGCTTTAGCACTAGGGTTGCCAAGCCTTCAGGAATCACACCAGGCCTCTGAGACCCACCCAAGCCTACAGAGAGCCTGGATCAGATGGGTGGGGTGTCTGTTCGTGCGGCTCATGAATGAAAGCGCTAGCTGGTGTGGACTCAGGGTGACCTGAGCGGCCACATGATAGCAACTAGGCACATTATGGTTATGGCATTTACCCAGCAGCGACACTTGTTTGTCTTGCTTTTATTAGGATTGCTAAATTCCTTTCAAGCAGTTGTCTTGTTTTGATGTACTTTGATGTATTTTTACAGAATTTTGGGTTTATCTCTGACTTCCAAGCTTCCCTTGTATTGTAGAAAAAGGCATATTCTGGTCCTTGCTCCCAGTTGGCTCGTGTGGGTCTCGAAGACCTCGTGCAATTCCCTAAGGCTTGTTAGCCCTAAAGCTGAAATTGGCAGAACTACTGAAGGGGCCCATGCAGAAAATTTTCCCAATTTTTTGCCTTGTTTAGAAGTGGAGAATGTCAATAACTGACAAATCCACAAGGGCCGTGACGAGGATTCGAACCTGCGTCCGGGAGCATCCCAGACACTGCCTTAATCGACTGAGCTACGACAGGGTTAAAAGGGTTGTTGCTGGATCCCGTAGCCTCTCCGAGGTACAAACCAGGATTTTACACAACCCCCCCTTCCCTGCACCCGAGTTATGTCAATAGGCCGTTCTCCCTCTTCATCCTTACATCATCACACACAGAGATCACACTAACGTGATGCATCAAATGAACAAATCCACAAGGGCCGTGACGAGGATTCGAACCTGCATCCGGAAGCATCCCGGACACTGCCTTAATCGGGATCTACGACTACGAATAGAGGCTACGGAATCCAGTAAGTTCAGTAGAACTTCGGTTTCAACCCTTTTAACCCTGTCGTAGCTCAGTCGATTAAGGCAGTGTCTGGGATGCTCCCGGACGCAGGTTCGAATCCTCGTCATTCGATACATCACGTTAGTGTGATCTCTGTGTGTGATGTCAATAACTATTGTGTAAATGGAAGGTATACTGTATATATGAAACATTAACTTTCTTTTGTGCAAATTCAGATAATGTATGTGAACTTTAAACTATTCTTGTGGTGTGGTATTGTTGTTACGGAGTATTACACTCCTGTATTAAGCATTAGAACATAGTTATTAAAATAATGTGCTTTACTCTATATTTATTTTCAACAGAATTGGGAACACGAACTCTTAGGATTTTATGAGGTGTTTAAGCATCCAGATATGCTTTGTGGTTGGATTACTGGCCCTGCAGCTTTACTTATGGAACAGGTTTCTGAGGAAGAGGTAGCAAAAGCTTGTATTGCCCAGTTAAGAAGACTTTTGTCACACAAGTTCCAGATCCCAGATTCAGTCTGGTGCAGACGGTAAGTTGCTTGTGATATTTAATTTGCTAGTTCTTTAATTTTTTTTAAACTATACTTTTTTTCCCTCCATTTAAGAGATTTTAAATTAAATGTACTTTCTGGAATCCAAATGTTTTCAACCAATACAGTAGACCCTAACCCATAAATTACCAGAGTTCATTCAAAATATTATTTTTCCTTTGGTTTGTTTTTTCCTTGTGCATATGTATTCCCTATAGTCTACAGCTATAAAGTAGAATGTCCTTCCTGTCTACCTGTGTCTGAAGTAGGACGATAGATGCTAGAGCTAGCTTCTCCCAACTTTCACATATGAAATATGGGCAAGTGTCAAAGGCCAGTCGAGTTCAAAACAAATTCACTAGTATGTGTATTATTTGTTTTTAAAGATCTTCATGGGGCTCAAACTGCTGGACCAGAGGATCATACAGCTACCGCTCCATGAAGACAGATGCTATGGGAGCCCGGGCTTCTGACTTGGCTGAACCTCTTGTGGATTCTAATAATACTCCAGTAAGTCATAAATAACTTTTAAAAAGTTTAGTTTGGATGTAGTATGTCTGTAAAGATGAATTAAATCCAAACTAGTTTATTTAACTTAAAATATGTGATTAAAAGATGGAAGGTAATGTATTAAAGCAAAATGCAGTATAATATTGATAATGGTCCAGGATAGATGGAAACGTCGTCGTCTCATCTTCTGTTGTGTGGTTTAGTCATCATATCTTCAGTCACGTTATTGTGACTTGTCTGAATATAAAGTTTGGTTCGAATGGGATATCTACAGAAATGGAATGGAGTTAGTGCAAATTAATTCATTCGAACAGGACTACATTGTAGAATTTCAATTTACAATAAATTGATGAAGTGGGTTGTTAATCAAAACTAAGAACTTTTCATTTTCTTTCAGGTTGTCTGTTTTGCTGGTGAAGCAACCCATGAATGCTATTATTCTACTGTCCATGGTGCTTTGGAATCTGGTTGGAGGGAGGCTGACAGACTTCTGAAATATTTAAAAAGGTAATTTTAAGGAAAAACTATTGTGTTCATTATTTTGTCTTAAATTAGGTAGATAAATACATACCGTGTTTGCCAGCATACAAGATGTGCATTTTTAATTTTTAAATGTATAAAAAAATTTCCCTGCGTCTAATGTAGCTATATTACGGATGGGAACCTGTGCGCCGTTTGCTAGGTAGCCAGACAAGCATACTGGGTAAGTTCGCTAGGCACAAAAATCGTTGCTAATAATTAAATATTGAAAACAAGCCAAATTATTACAGTAAATTGTGTTACTAGCACTTGGGTGCTTTGGGCGAGAGAGCGCCGTGCGCCACCCCAAGGTGCACCTGACATTCCACGGGAGTGTGCGGTAATACTGAAAAGTGTATACTCTTTTCAACTTTGTCATCTAAATTCTCGTCCTAGATTTTTCATTTTGGTAATTCTTTGCAATAGAATTCTCTACAGGACTAAAGGCATATATAGTCCAAAACCCTGGCGTACCATCCGCAACAAAGAAAGAAATTGAGAGCATGTTACCCGGGAGCATGCAAGAGCAATAAAATGTACTCACACTTTTCATTTTGGTTACCTCAATTCTCGTCCTAGGTCTTTCATTTTGGTATCATTGTGTTTGCAATAGAATTCCCCACAGGAGCATGCATATAAAAAGTCCAAAAGCCCGGCGTACCACCCACAGCAAACAGAGAAAGTGACAGCGCGTTACCCCCGTGAGTGCTCATCGAGAGCAATAAAATTTCTATATTCTTTTCAACTTTGTTACCTCAATTCTCGTCCTAGGTCTTTCATTTTGGTATCAATGTGTTTGCAATAAAATTTGCTAAGAGTACAGTACTGTAGTAGCAAAGAGTATTATGCAGTATATCTGTTGTATATATAAAAGTAGCTGTAATCTCCTTGGTAGCTGAATGCTAGAATACATTTTAACTTCGTATTTTGATGGTGCTAACATGTTTTGTAATTGTCTGTAAATTTTAATAATTCATTATTATAGTACACTAATAAGCAGTTTTAAGTTAGAAAATAGCATAATAATTGTACTCACAGTAAGCATGGTGTAGTTTTAATCAGTAATAGTTGTATAATACTGTATACTGTAATTTTTAAATTATATGCAATGCAATATAGCAGTCTCAATAATTGAGCCCCCTCTCCCCATGGTCAAGACATTGCTGTATTGTGGATATTACCAGATTATAGGATTCATATTACTGAGGCCTGGATTGTAGATCAAACAATCTGTAACATTACCAGTATATATTTATTTACCCAGTAAAGTCTAGTTTTTATATTTAAATATATTCATTATACTTCATATTTATTTGTGCGTGTTAAAACCACTTAACCCATATATTTACTATTCCAAATTTACTTGCCATAATTTCATCTCTAAAATATACTTTGTATACTAAATTCAACAGCTATACATACAGCAACAAAGGCTAGGGGGACACAATTGCTACAAATTAAACCTATTTAACGTTGCTAAAGTGGAGACGTGGGTTAAGGAAGCCCTGTACACCGGAGTGATGGGGTCTTGGAAACCATACCATACTTGTCAACAGTCGGTCTTTGGAAGGCTGGGTTATTGGAACTTCACTGTACCCTGGTATCTTTATTCAGAAAAATATATTGGTCAATACTAAATATTATACGTCTTTAGAACTAAAAAAAAATCATGTCCTTGCTACAGCATAATACATTTTTACGATGAATCAATACAGTATTTGCAGACTATTCACTAATGATGATTGTTTAGGGTGTGTATTGATTACTTACTAATAAATGGTAAAACTAGTAATTTGGCAGTATGTTATTTCCCAAGATTGTTACTCATCCTCCAGCTGTTTGGTTAGATAGCACAAAGGATTTCTAGTTTTAGCTCCATTCACTGATAACATTTCATCTTCTAAAACAATAACACTTCAATGACACTTGTGTTGCAAACCTCCCGGACTTTCTCGAGTCTTTTCTGTGTGTCTCGCAAAGTGGGACCTCCACACTAATGTTGCATGGAGGTCACGCCCAGATGTAGACTGCATTTATTATTCTGAATGAATACCTGCTTTGGTTTCTAAATGCCATACATCTGTTCTCCAATTTCACATGCTGCTGCTGTTCTATTTACATAGAACATATGTAAATAGAACTATAGTGTTAAAGCTGATGCTATTGCCATGCTTAAGTCTGCCTTATCTGACTCCTGTAGCTGCCTTTTTTTTCGCTTATTCTGTACTCTCATTCTTGCCTTTTCTGATATTTTTTCTTAATCTGTCAAGTTTAGTTGCTACATAGCCTTCCCGGTTTGGTGCCTTCTTTTGATAATTGCATAATTAAATCTTGCATTTTCTCTTCTACTACACTTCATTTTCATTAGTTTTGCAAACATTGTCATGTAAGATCTTGCCTCCTTTGGTAAGTCAATCAAATTGGTCAGGAACTGGAGATTTTGATGGACCAAGTGATGCTTGTCACTTCTCTCTCTTCAACATTTTCTTGCTTATCGTGACCCTGTTTCTTGTCCATTAGGTATTTCCTTATCTAATTCGGTGCCTTCAAGATACTCAAGATATTCTGAGAACTTTCAAAACAAAAGATGCCACACCAATAATGGTAGTCTCCATAGCACTGGATCTATCTCGTATGGAATATTGCTCGATCCTCACATCCTCCATTCAAGGCAGGCAAGAGAGCAGAGATATAAATTATAGAGATATTCCTTACCGCCAACAGAATTAGTGATACACTTGACCTGCTGGGACCACCTGAATGTACATAAATTGTTTTCCTAGAACAGAAGTGAAATTACCTAATAATACACATATGGAAGATACTGAAAGTTAGGTTCCAAACTTGTATAGTGAAATTACAACATACTTGAGTGAGAAATATAGAATCTTGAGGTTATCTTGAGATGATTTCAGGGCTTTAGTGTCCCCGCGGCCCAGTCCTCGACCAGGCCTCCACCCCCAGGAAGCAGCCCGTGACAGCTGACTAACACCCAGGTACCTATTTTACTGCTAGGTAACAGAAGCATAGGGTGAAAGAAACTCTGCCCATTGTTTCACGCCGGCTCCCGGGATTGAACCTGGGACCACAGGATCACAAGTCCAGCGTGCTGTCGGCTCGGCCGACCGGGTCCCTAGTAGCAGTTGTCAAATACATCAAATGAAAAGTTTATGTAAAAGAATGTATGTCACAAGTTCATGGAGTTTCATCTATCTGCCAACAAATATATGAAATGTCACTGGAACAACAGTAGAAGATTTCAAGAGGGTACTCTAGAGTTTCAGTTGGAGTTCTCAGATCACCCTGGCTGTGAGGGGGCTGTATTCATAGCCCTGTGGGCTATTAAGAAAAACAGGCATTAACCAGGGAAGGCTGGCCCCAGACCAGTCTGTGAAAGAAGACCTTTTGAAAACATCTACGGGTAAGCCACTAACTTAACAGTTGGGGCTATATACAGAATTACTAACACGAAGGTAATTTAGTGAAACGCTACTCAGAAACGTAATTATAGAAATACTGTAAATATAAAAAATCACTAAATGTTTACAGAAGATTTTAATACTGACCTCTTCCAACCACAAGGGCACATGCTGCTACCTTCCTCAACTATATGAACTCCTGCATGCCTGTTCCAAAGCTCTTGAAACCTACCAGAATTATTTGAATAATCTGCTTCAACCTTGACTACATTTGAACAAACATAACATCTCCACTAGTAACTGCCCTCTATTTCTTCTATCAAACCTTCCCAAACCACCACTAGAAACCATGAAGATTAGCTTGAGATACACAAAGAAATCACACTAACATGATATATCAGTGAAAAAATCAATTGGGGCAAAGTGGTAATTCAACCCCAGCTATCTGGGTGTTCCCTCAATAGACAAATTCACTGAAGCTGTCGGCAACAATAACTGGGAGAATGAACTTGCTAGTGTGGAAAACATTAGCACGGGTATACACATGTAACACATGACATTCTTAAATACGCCAGAGTAACTCCAGTCCATGAAAAGCAAAGATCTTGCCAATAGTAATTATAGACCAATATAAATCAATCCAGATTACTTAAAATATTGGAGAAATTGATGTACAGGTAGCTTTTCTTTCACCTTGCTGAGCTTAATATACTAAAATTCAGTAAATTTGGCTTCAGACCCCATGAAAAGCATCAACTATTCTAAAATAAACATGCTTGGTCTGATATATTCAGCACTTGACAAAAATGAGTACCTTTTAGGACTATTTGTTGATCTTCAAACAGCCGTTGAGACTGTTAACCACAATGATGTCATCATTAAACTACATCACCAAGACGTAAGAGGCATTCACTTGTATACATCCAGTCTTATCTGAGTGGTAAACACCATATGTTTCTGTGAATGACACTACTATTCCCACACTGCCAGTTAATAGTGGCATACTACAACACTCTTGGTCCACTCCTATTTCTCCTATATGTCAATGACTCGCTAAATACCATCTTAAACCAATTCTATTTGCTGATGATGTCTTAAATCCAAACATCTTAAATGATACGGTTATCTTGAGATGAGATCTTGAGATGATTTCGGGGCTTTAGTGTCCCCGCAGCCTGGTCCTCGACGGTAAATAAAAAATTAAAATAATTTGCTAATTTCTAGCAAACTCACTCTTAACATTCACAAGGCATGCTGGATATTGTTTGGAAACAAATCTACTTGTCAAATAATCTAAGAATAAACATTTAAAATGAGAGTAAAGTACAGTAGAAGGAATATTCCATGGCATACTGTCATTTAGACAACAAGTTAAACTTTTCCAGATAAGAAAAGCATTAACAAGCTCCATCCTAAGGCGACATGCAGAAACTATTTATTTGAACATGCTAAATATTTTCTGCTTGGAATGCAGCGCATACTAGTGGCTTTACAAGAATGTAAACACCATGCTATGTATCCTCACAAACCCAATGTACCTTCTTGTAAATATATATAAATAAATATAAAATCTATATAGTACACACAATTTCAGGTGTACTCTAGATCTCAAACCTCAAAGTTGCCATACCAATCCCAAATTTAAATGTTTCTTAGAAAGGTGTAATGGAACTCGAAGATGCTACACAAGTGCCAACAGAACTCATAAACATCACACATGCACCAATGGAAAGCAAACACCACACAAGAAATAAATATCTATTTTACAGTCGATGGAAAACAAAAATGCCATGCAAATAAAGGTACCTAAATTGTGGCATATTGTTCTATACAGGCATACCTCAGTTTAAGAGTTTAATTGGTTCCTGGAGACGCCTCGTATTCCGAAAACTCGCATTCCGAAGCTAATTTCCCCATAAGAAATAAAGGGAAATGAATTAATCCGTTCCTGACTACCCCAAAAACCCCACATCAAACTAAATTTTTATACCTAATTCATCTAAATAAACCTACAAAACTATGTTCAAGTTATTACTTACCTTGCTGTTGAATGCTGTAGGCGTATGGAAGATGGTGAGGAGGTGGGAGGAAGAGAGGAGTTACTGTTTGGAAGGGGAGTCCCCTTCCATTATCACATCAGGCAGTGAGGACTTCACTGGTATGCACACTCTGCCACATTTTGCCTTCATACCACTAGGACTTGCTTGTTTAACTAAGAATTTGTCTAATGACACTTGTTTTTCCCTACATTTTAACACTTGTCTGTAGTAAGACATCACATTATCATTTAAAAGGTCAATGCAACGGCCTGCTACAGCTTTATCTGGGCGAGTTTTTTCAACAAAACTTTGCAGTTCTTCCCATACTTCACACATTTTCTTAATCAAGAAGGGACATCCTCTACTGCCTCTACTCACAGCTATTTTCTTAGGTTGAACCTTACCAATGGCTTTCTTGAGACCCATGGCAAGATATATAATGACAACTTTTATGCTCAAATGGCCAAAAAAACGATAAAAAACTGTGAATCCTTGTGAAGAATTCAGGTGGGATAGTCACTGGACACGAGACACTGGTAAACTGAGGCGCGATCGCCATGCCACCACGCGCCAGTCGGCCTGTACACGTATCAACAAACTCGCGTCCTGAGGTAACCCTCGCCTTCCGAGACATATTTTTGGAGTAAATCCTGCTCGTCTTCCGAAAAACTCGCATACAGGGACACTCGCATTCCGAGGTACCACTGTATGCTATAAAATACTGTATGATCTGTTACCAATTTAAAATTGATTGAAGTACCAAATTGATAATGTAATCAATATACATTATGTATATACTGTACTGTACATATATATATATATATCTACCATACCAAATTGCATATACAGTACATGTATTTCCTAAATTGTGAATTATGCTTGCTGTTACTTTTTGCTCTGAAATATTGCAACTAAACTGAACACTTCTTCTTTTAAACTCGGTATTGACCAATAAAGCTATTGACATATGAATAAAGTAGTCTGCACACTTTAGTATTATCAACTAGAAAACTGTCATTAGCTAAATTTCTTAATTTGTATCTGCATTTATATATTCAGTATTACATCTTTACATCTTCTTGTATTATTACCCTCAAATGTATTATCTTCAGAAAAAACCAAGGTTGAATGTAATGAAATGCCATTTTTTGGGTGAGCCCCAGAGGCTCCCTGAAGCTATCCGAACTGATACAGTGCTATATTAGTTTGGGGTCATCAATCACAGGAGTCCTTTGCCTACCGGGGACCACAAGCCAGAACCTGGCCCCCTCAGAGAGGTGCAGAGAGCAATGTCCTATGAGCACTTAACATATAAAATATGTCATAATTGCCATTGACTGGGGAAGGCACTCAGAAAGATAGGCGAAACAGAAGGGACCACAATCTGGAGAAATTGCTACCTATGCCCGAAAAGAGCAAAAGGAATGCCCCAGGAAGAAAACAAATAAGCAACACTGCATCCAACTAGTGCTCCTACTCGTTAGCGCTACACCATCTCCCCTAAAGGGGGAGAAGGGGGAAGCTGGCAGCCCACCACCTAAGTTCTTGAACTGATGTGCTGGTGATCGGACATCATCACTGGCCTGAAATACCTGTTCTGGATTTTTGTCCCGTGTGGCTGTTCCAGCTGTGTGTGTGTGGTGTGGTGGCCAGGTGTCTTAGAGTACAGGAGCAGCATGTGCCTAGGGTGATCTTCCTTAGGTGCTCCGTAAGTACTGCCCTTGCGTTTCAGGGTTATCTTCCCTGGAATGTTCGGGAATCAATCTCATTTGAGGGCTTCGTCGCTTGGCGCTGTCTTCTTTTGGCGTACATTGTGGGTCTTGAGCTTTCCATCTTGCCCTGGGGGGGGGGGGGAGTGTTATTGGCTTAGTGGGGTGCCCTGCGGCTGGCGCAGCTTGCACACACAGAGCGGCTGATGATTCTCTCTGGCTGCCAGTTTGTTTGTCTTTGGGGGTTTTTGTTTCTCTTTTCTAGCATTTTTGCTTTTTGTTAATGGAGGAGGTCTGCCTAGCGTCTCATTTGGCTAGCCTAGGTTGTGTTGGTAGTCCTCTTCTGTTGCCCCCAAGGTCTCGCGACTACTACAGTTGGTCAGTTTCCCTGCTGACAGACAGGCTTCTACTGGCTTAACTAGCCCAAGTGCCTGGACTTCTTGTAGGGCTTACTCACTATACAGGCCGTGGAAAACCCCAGTGGGCTTGAGGGTACCAAGAAGGTGTCTTCTGAACCCTCTCTTGCATTATGCGGAGTTAATGGTTGTTTGTCGCCCCTGCCTCAGGGAGACGTTCATCAACACTGCCTCCATCATGCTGCCTGTTCGGTTAGTGACACCACCGCCCCGGAGTCTTGCGGGACTTATTCCCCGCTTGTGCTTCAATTTACTCATTCCTTGTCTGACGATCTCAGGGATCAGGCGGTGGCTGTGTTGCATGCTCGATTCTCCTGTAGCACTAATGAGCGGGAGTGCTAGTTGGATGAAATGTTGCTTGTTTGATTTCTTCCTGGGAGAGTTCTTTTGCTCTTTTCGGACATAGATAGCAATTTCTCCAGATTGTGCCATTTTGTTTCGCCTATCTTTCTGCGTGCCTTCCCCAGTCAATGACAATTATGACATTATGACATACTTTAAATGTAAAGTTCTCATAGTCCATTGCTCCCCGCACTTCTCTGAGGGGGCCAGGTTCTGGCTTGTGGTCCCCGGTAGGCAAAAGGACTCCTGTGACTGATGATCTCAAACTAATGTAGCACATATCAGTTTGGATAGCTTCAGGGAGCTTCTGGGGCTCTCCACAGATAAACATTAATTGTAAGACTTACCTGAAGCACTGCATGTGACTAATGGTTTATAAAAACATAAATGCCCTGTACTTATGGAAATACAGTAATTGTTTATTTTAGTCTTTAAATTTGTTAAAATAATAATGGTATTATTACATACATGGGAGTTGTTTGATATAGATGGCTCCTGCTGCAGTTACAGCCACTCCTGTAATATATTACAGTACATAAGTTGGAGCTGTTTGATATCAACAGAAGCTGCAGCATTTATAGCCACTTCTATAGTTACAGTCATACCATTATTCCACTCATATATTTCAGCTTGTACTATATTTCACAGTTACCCATCCTGAGTGCTTGCATCACTATCATGGTTCTTCCATTTCTCATTTGTTCCTGCACCACTATCATGGTTCTTCCATTTCTCAATTGTTCCTGCACCACTATCATGGTTCTTCCATTTCTCAATTGTTCCTGCACCACTATCATGGTTCTTCCATTTCACATTTGTTCCTGCACCACTATCATGGTTCTTCCATTTCGCATTTGTTCCTGCACCACTATCATGGTTCTTCCACTTCTCAATTGTTCCTGCACCACTATCATGGTTCTTCCATTTCACATTTGTTCCTGCACCACTATCATGGTTCTTCCATTTCACATTTGTTCCTGCACCACTATCATGGTTCTTCCATTTCGCATTTGTTCCTGCCATGTGCTACAGCCTTCATTTTCCATTTCCTTTGCTGCATGGGATGTTTGGCTGTTTATCCTAATGGAGATTTTTTCCAACAGTGTTCCAACTTCCGAAAATTGTCAACCAGTTGGCTCTCGTCAAAAATACAATGTCGTCATTGTCGGAGCTGGGGCTGCAGGTATCGGAGCAGCAAGAGAACTTAATGCGCAGGGCATCGACTCCATTCTCATTCTTGAAGGCTAGTGTTCAAAAAGTATACTTTGCTTGAAGGCCTTAGAATTACAATACCTTTCTGTTTATTATCAGACTGATGGGACCTGGGCATGGTCTGATATCTGGATGAACTACTAGGAGGTAGTAGGTAAAAGTACCATCTGATGTTATATACAACTAGATTGAGAATTCATCATAGTCTTTATTTTTTCTCTCCCATATATGGCCCAGGAGGGAAGGGAATGCTTTGGAAAGACTCAAGCTGCATTGGGAATGATGAAAGTCACACTGTTGAGTCCTGAGGGAAGAGGATCTGATCTAATGAACCAACTGATGGGTTTGCCCAAAATGTACATTTTTTACATTAACTCAAAGCCTTGAATAGCATACAGTAATTGATTTGACATGGAATTAGACTGGATGTTTAACATTATGATATTCTACAGGCAGCAACCGTTTTGGTGGACGTGTGAATACGGTTAGAACAGTACCTCAAGGTGTTGTAGAATTGGGTGCACAGTGGATTCATGGAGAAGATGGTAATGCCATTTTTCAGTTTGCAAGGTCCAGAAACCTCCTTCACCATAAGCTATCTGTAGATGGCAGGGGTGAGTACCACTTTATTATGTTTTGTAAATTTTGAAAATATTGCTGGTATTGTAATGTTTAAGTAACCTTTCTGGTTAATCCCTGTCAGTGTCTCCTTGGTGCTTAAGCACTGGTACTACTAAGCCTTCAGGTTACATCAGGTCTCTTACACTTATTGAGGTCTAAGAGGACTAGGCATTAGTCCTCTTAGGCAACTAGGACTAGAATCTGGTTCACTTGGCAAGGAGAGAGAAGAATGGTATTTGAGAACGACCAATAACCAAGGAAAACTGATCTGAGGAACTACAAAGCAAAATATACCACTACTTGAAAAAAAAAATAAGGATAATTATGCAAATACTGTAATAGTTGGCAAAGAGCGAATAACCTTAGCGCCAATTAAGCTGGCTGCCACTATGTGCTAGGCTGGACCATTTGGTACTCCCAATCAACTACTGCTTTAAATAATTCATCTTTAAATAATTTTGTTTTACCTTTTGTTAGGTGATTTCCGCATGGAGAATGGAAAGCTCATAGATGAACACTTAGTAGACGAAATATTGGATGTCATGGAGGAGGCTGATGAAGAATGCAAGACTTACAGTCAAGACAAAGAGTTCAAAGAGGTTCGACAGCTATCAGTTGGAGATGTTTTTAGGAGAAGATTTCTTGAGTACTTATCAACATGTAAAACTGATGGTCCCTTATTAAGAAACCTGAAGAAAGCCCTGTATTATTGGACCTTAAGGTTAGTGATTTTATGAAAGGTACAGTACATGCAGACCTTTTATTATTAGCTAGGAACTTTTATTATTTGGCTAGGACACTTATATGTTAAGTCATAAATTCTATCTATATAAATTTCTAAAGTTACTATACAGTACAGTGAAACCTCGAAAAAATGGCACCTTTGATGAGCTACAAAGAATCTATCATTGGAACAAATCTTGTTTGTTTTTTCAGAAAAGGGTATCAACATGACCAAGGCCTCTTTGGTTCATAGATCTGGCTTTCCATATTTCTGGGAAAGCTCCATCGGTAGTTCCCCAAGCTTGTAGCAATTGGATTTAAATGCCATATCTAATTTGCTAAATTTCTGCAGCTTGCTCACACTAACTAGGAGCAAGTACCATTTCAAATTGATTTTCCCCCCTCAAATGTGTGGTGGCGAGTACATTGGAATCAGAGATAAATATCATAAACTGCCCGTAAAACAATTTACAAAACACTCAAAACGCCATCCAAGTGTTCATTCGAAAAATATCTTTCACTGCCACCTGAAGGTGGCTCTGGAGGGGATGCCAGTCTCTTTTCTTCCTGCCACCATTTCTGAGTAGATGGATTCCACTGAGACCAGACATAATCTTTATAGGTGGCCATCTTTCCATTTGGTCTTTCATCCAAACATAGACTCTTTTTCTTTATTACAATACATGTTCATAGTTGCCGGTTGCCTTGAATGTCATTTGCTTAGTTTGCTTCAACTTTGTTTTCAGAGTCCCATTTTCTGATGCTGCTAGCCAGAGATATTAACCACCAGAATTGATCTTTTCTGAGGTTTTTGGGCTCTACCACTTCTCCTTAGTAGTGAGGATTGGTGTTTGATTTCTTATCCTCTGGGGCCGGCCAGCCAAGCGGACAGCATGCTGGACACATGATCCTGTGGGCCAGGGTTCGATCCCGGGCGCCGGCGAGAAACGATGGGCAGAGTTTCTTTCACCCTGCTGCCCCAGTTACCTACCAGTAAATAGGTACCTGGGAGTTAGTCAGCTGTCATGGGCTGCTTCCTGGGGGTGGAGGCCTGGTCAAGGACTGGGCTGCTTCCTGGGGGTGGAGGCCTGGTCAAGGACCGGGCTGCTTCCTGGGGGTGGAGGCCTGGTCAAGGACCGGGCCGCGGGGACGCTAAAAAGCCCCGAAATCAACTCAAGATAACCTCAAGATAACTTCTGTTAGATTTGACTTCTTGCCTTTGGCTTTGATGGTACAGTATATTTAGATCTGCTTGTGTTGATCTCTGTATCAGGCAGTCATGTTGGGGAACTCCATGCCTTCCATCAATGCAACATTATTGTTTTTAATCTTTGGGATTACTTTCTTAAGTTGAACATTCTTCCTTCATTCCCAGCCAAGAATGTGCTGGGTTTTTTTCAAAGTGGTCATCTAGTCATTGAGGCATGCATTGTCAAGCCAAGCTTCTCTCATTCTCTTTCTCCAGTTGGTACTATTTGTAGACTAATCGGGCATCCTGTGAGGTGGCTCTGTTCCTTAACCCTCGCTCTATTCTGTACTGTTTCAAAGTAAGATTATATCAGATTATTCACATGTTGGTCAAATTTAGTCAGCTATATGTCAATTCACAAGATTTTGATCTCTAAGCAGCTGATGAAATGGTGATGGATACATGGTGAGATAGTATTGGCTCTGGAGTATCAATGTTTTATTTTTGGGGAGTTACTGAGGGGGCCCAGAGAATGGAGTGTTACTATTAATGTTTAATAGGTGATTTTTGGATGCTATCCTATTTTAGCCATGTACCCTAGAGTCCAGTTTATATGGCAGCATTTTCTTGACTTTTGTGTATAATGCTTTAAATCAAGCAGTGTTCAGCCATAAATATCAATGTATATTACATTCACTTGAAACACTTTGTGTAGGCAAATGCTGTAGTGGAAACACTGAAAATGGTTTTCTTACTTTTCAGATGGTACAGAATTGATAATGCTTGCGATTCCCTTCATCAGCTCTCAGCCACCTGCTGGGGAAACTATATATACTGCAATGGAAAAGAGAATATGAACCCCAAGGATGGATTTTTATCCATTTTGAGTTCCATTCTTGCAGAAACTAAAGCAGACTTGCTGCTTAATAGCGAAGTGGATTGGTAAGCTGTATTGGTAATAGTCGTTATTACTAACCCCTTAATTATTTGACTATATAGTATAAGTCTTCCAAAATAGAAATACAGTGGTACCTCGCATAACGAATTTAATCCGTTCCATGTTCGTCATGTGAAACGGACGTCATACAAAACGAGTGTCCCCCATATAACCAGTGTGATGCACTGTGTTTATTGTGAAATTCCCCCAGTGTGCATGACATCAAATGTTCCCCAAAATATCATTTTTCTTTGCAAAATGATAAATTACCGTCCCTGAACATGTCTATGTAAAAATAATTACCAAATTCCACTTACTTTGGCTGTGAGGGAGTCGACAAGGTGCGCTGTGACGTCATCAGGGGCTGGTCGCCCGTGTGTGAAGCTCCCAGACACGGTCGCGCAGGCCATTCAAGCACCGCGTGTTGCCACAAATATATTTTCAAATATTTTTCTATGCATTTCCAATGCGGTTTTATTTGTTTCTTTTATCGTATATGATGCATATTTGTGACCTTTACAATATGTATACAGTAGAATGTTCATAATTTTCCATGAAACTGTGATACATGTGTCAGTAATGTGTCCACAATAAATGTTTATTGTCACAATATTACGTGGTAAAAATTCACTAAAATTACAATATGTACAGTTTCACATATTATTTACACAATAATACACTGTATTACACACTCAGTACTTTGGAGGTACGTAATAGTCAATGAAGTAGTCCATGGTACACAGCGCGACTTTGCTCTCCTTGCACCAGCTACAGATAGATTTTCGTTTCCTGTTTCATCGTTCTGTGTGCTTGCAAATAACGCACTCGCGTGCACCCTTGGCTTTAGTACTTGTAGGTGGTATGTAGCCAAGCTTGTAAAGCATATGGTAGTATTGAAACGATTATAGGAAAAGCTCAATTTGTAAGGTAGTCTTGAAAAGATCGCTTTGTAAGGTCCCACACAGGAAGAGATTCAGCTAGCCTCAAAGAGTGTCCATCAGTCAGGAGGAGATTCAGCTAGCCTCAAAGAGTGTCCATCAGTCAGGAAGAGATTCAGCTAGCCTCAAAGAGTGTCCATCAGTCAGGAAGAGATTCAGGTATTCTTGAAAATATCAATGAACAACACCACCATGGAAGCCGCTAACACTGTTCATCTATGCTACTTGTATCAGATGCATCATCACTGAACGCAGAAAACGATTCATCTATGTATCATCTATATAAATTCGAGATGGCCAGGGTGGGGCTCAGAGCTACACCTGGATACGCTCGCTGTATCATCCTCATAGGTGCTGTATCACTGGCATCCGACCATTGTGTTAAGCCCTTATTGCGCCTAGCTTCACCAATGTTATGACCCTTATGTTCTTCAAACAATAGGGTCTGAATTGCACCGACTGAGTGCAGTCTTTCAGCACCGTGTGGGACAGGTGTTTGAGAGCCAGAGGCACGTGTGCCACAAATGGTTGCTCACGCAGTACTAACCCAGCCAGCAGCCCTTGTCTTTCATATTCGTTATAGCAAAAGGTTCGTTCAGTGTTTGTTGGGTAGGCTGCTCCATTATGACAATCTTTCTTTGTTTCAAATGTGTTCCATTTGTTTTGTATTTGTCACTTATGTCTCATAATGGAGCAGCCTACCCGACAAACACTGAACGAACCTTTATGGCATTTGTCCATTTTTCAAATTGTTTCAACAGTTCTTTTATTTTTCGTTTTTTTTTTTTATTTAAGAAACATGGAGCAGCCGACCTGTAGACGACCGAACGAACCTTTTTGACATTTGTACTGGTTTTCAAAAATCTTCATTTTTTTTATTATTTACGTTTTTTGTATGTAAGAAACATGGAGCAGCCTACCTGCCGACCACCGAACGAACATTTTGCTATAAGACAAATGAAAAATAAATATTGAACACATTTGAAGAAAGGAAAATGTCATAATGGTTTATTCAGTGTATGTAAGGTAGGCTTCTCCATTATTGAGACGTAAATGACAAATACAAAACAAATGGAACACATTTGAAACAAAGAAAGATTGTTATAATGGAGCAGCCTACCTGCCGAACACCGAACGAACCTTTTTGACATTTGTTGTATATCAGACATTTCATTTCTTTTTTCCTACAAAAACGTCAATGCTTTGCAACATCTCAGCAGTCACCCCATTATATCCCAGTATCATTAGCATCTTTAAACAAGAACAACATAATTTATGTGCATCGTCGGAGGCGTCTAAGAATGTGCAAGAAGCAGCGCGACCCCACCTGGCCCACCATGTGGTGTTGACGTTACTCAAACCAGCGTTCGTCATACGGGACGATTTGACGCCGATCGGGCCGTTCGTTACCCAAAATGTTCGTCTTTTGGGGCGATCGTTATGCGAGGTACCACTGTATATATATATATTTTTTTTTGTATACAAGATGCATTGTTCATTTGTATAGTGTTCATTCATTATGATTTGATTATTCTTAATCAGTAGAATAATCTGTAGTAAAATGTAAATTGAACACATTTGATTTTACAAGGAACATATAACACAATGTTATAATGTGAGGTTTTGTTTTTTAGCATTGACTATGCAAGTGAGGTTACGACTGACGAAGGGTCTTATGTACGACTAGATGGCACAACTTATCCTGTGATTGTCAAGTGCAAGTGAGTGAACATGTTTAGTTGTGTACATACTAGTTAAGCATGTGTTTAGTAAGCATTAGTTATGTCTTTAAAAATATATAAAAACAGGTCATTTGTCACAACATTAGAAGTTTGGGTTTAATGCCAGTACAGGCTTGTCGAAGAGTATTAAATTTCTGTGCCTAGACACGGTGCAGAAAAAGCAGCAAATAAGGAAACGGGGAGAAAATAAATATGACGTTGAGTGAAATGAAACATTCCTGAGCAGATTCCTCGGTTGAATCCTTGAGTTCATGGCCTCTGTATGTTCACACACACATTCCGCCCTCCAGGCTCTAATGACTTGTTCATCCACCAGAAGCAGAAACATTCCAATACTGTAGCATAGTCACATGGGTTGGGAAAGGAGTCAGTGGTATGTCTTACTTAAGTCACAACCAAAAGCCCAACTTGCAGTCAGAAAAAACCAGTATCGGTTATCATCGGTACCCCAATAACCACCAGATGGCAGCAGTACCACAGCAATAACATGTTTAAAGAAGTCAGCAATTTTACTTGTTACCAAGGAAACTGAAGTATGCTTGGGAAATATATGACAGAAAGAAAAATAATGGCAAAAAACAAGTGACTGGCTCTGAAGGGGGTGTTTCATTACTGGATTTTAAAAGATGCCATTTGAACCAAAATTAAAAGGAGGGTGCCCCCTGCTAGAAATAATGTGAAAACAACTGAGCAAAGAACCTTCAGGATAGGGTTAGTACATTAACCACCAACATGTGCCAGCAAACCCTGCAGGAAGGCTAACCAATTCCAGAGAGCAACCTATGGAGAAAACCAGGAGCACTCACACCTTTTCCTCTCAGACTCACCCTCTCTTCAGACTCTTCCTTCCCTCAGCCTATGAGGTGCTGGATGGCCAGACCTGCCTGAGAAAAATAAAATAGATGGCGACTATCTATACCAAGAACCAAGCAGTGGGCACCCAGTTGTAAGAAGCATGTTCCTAGAATGCCAGATCCACACTTTGTTAAATCACCAAAAGGAGAAGGGAAAGGCTGCAGAAAAAGATGTAGACTTGAACCAGGACAGAGATAACTGGTAGATCACAGAACCCCATCTCTGGCCACAAAAGTGCAGTTCCATCAGTCCCAACCTAAACCCCACCCAACCACAGACAGGAAAATTATAAGGTGGGGCCAAGTTACCAGACGAGAGCTTTGCTTTTGGTGTCCCATCTTCCATTACCCTTTATCATATGATGCTTTGAAGCCACTGTACTGATGGTTTGGCATCCACCACCACCTTCTTAACTTCTTCCAACCAACTACCGCTTTGTTTGCAAAGAACAACTTTTGAATTTTTTTTGGTACCTTTGTTTCCTCAGCATGAATTTATAACCTTTTGTTTTTGAAGTTACAGGTTTCAAGAAATTTTCATTGTTAATTTTATCATTTCATGTTACTATTTTGTACATGGTGATAATATTGCCTCTTTTCCTTTGTCTTCTAGCTTGGCATATTTAATGCCTCAGGCCTATCTTCGTAGCTCTAGTTTTCATTTTTGGAAGCCATTTAATAGGATGTCTCCACCTTTTCCAGTTTATTTATGTCCTTCTTGAAGTATGGGCACCATTTAACTGCTACATATTCTAGTTTTGGTCTCACAAAGTCATGAACAATTTCTTTAATATTTCATCGTCCATGTATTTAACTGATTTTGAAGTCGGAAAGCGTAGCATAGGCTCCTTGCTGCACAACGTCCTTTATGTAATCTTCTGGTGATGGTTTACTATGTATAATGCACATTTTATTCATTTTGATTGAATGCCTTCATCTTGGAACACAATGATACAATAGTGTTCGACTGGCCATTGTGCAGTCTCACAGTTCTCGTGTAGATTTCCTGTTTGGCTCCTGTTAGGTCAGAGTGGTACTCTAAGAGGTGGGATGAAATAGTGGGCAAAAATTCTTGGTGAAATGACATAGATCCAAAATAGGGGCTAGTCCATATCTGGGATACAGTATACGGTCTTTATTTTTCATGACAGTTAACATTTCAGAGATGGAAGTGAATTTGAAGCTCAGCATGTGATAGTGACTTCCTCTATTGGTTACTTGAAGAATAACCCAAACCTGTTTTTTCCTGCTCTTCCAAGAAGACTTCAGAAGGTAAGTTGTTTCTTCTTCACAAAATAGAGCCAAAACCCATTCAGAAACTCAAACACACACACACAAAAAAAGAATATAATGTTTTTAGAAATTTGTATTCCTGACGAAAACAATGCAAATCATTGCTACTGGAGCAAAATCACCGCATGGATACACTTGCTCACCACCAGATGGCAGCCCAAGTGATGCAGAATTTCAGCCAGCTAGCTGAAAACCTAAATGCTGTAATGTTCTTCAACCAATTTAATGATTTGGCTGTGACTTTGGAGGAGGATGCCGACTTGTGAGGGCAGGAGGAAAAAGTTTAATTTAAGGACAGACTGAAGGCCATAGAGGTGGAGCTGTATACTTGATGCAGTGTTGCAGGAACAGGATCTGTAGACTTGATGCAGTGTTGCAGGAACAGGATCTGTAGACATGATGCAGTGTTGCAGGAACAAAGATGACAGGTTTTCAACTCAACTGAAACCTGTCGTGATTGGCAAGAGTTGTTGTTGTTGTTATAGATTCAGCTACTCGGAACAAGTTTCAAGTAGCACGGGCTATGGTGAGCCCATAGTGGACTTACCTGGCACAGGAGCGGTGCTGTTGGCAAGAGGGAGGAGGACCTATAGGAAAGAAGTCACCAAACAATTGCCAGACTTGCAATGCTCTGGATGATGAGGGAGAGGACAAACACGGCAAAAGGAGAGATACTAATCTATGTTTTGAAATTCAGTGATATATGATAGACCAAAATGAATTGTAATACAATATTTATATAATAATGCAAGAGATCTGTTCATTAATTTGTTAATTTCTCCAATAATAGGGCATTTCCGAGTCATTTGATTCAATTTATGGGATGAGGCAGCGGTTATAATATATTTTTATAAGTTTCTCATTATTTGCAGGCTATTACATCCATGGGATACGGTACCATAGACAAGATATTCTTGGAGTACACAGATGCCTGGTGGCAGAATGACTGGGAAGGCCTTCAGATAGTGCGGACCACCGATATACCAGATTTTGAACGCAAAGCTCCTCATACAAGACTTTGTGACGGCACTACAGAGCAGGTACTAAGTGTACTTTTTATATTATCAGAATGGCTTAGTTATTAATTTTCCTGATACCCAAATCTAACGTCTGTTAATGAGTGCTTACCTATCAGTGAGATTCATGTATTGTTGCCCCTCCAAGCTTTTTGAGGTTGTGGAAAAGGTGGTTTCAACATCTTCTTTCCCTGTATTACACTTGCTATCCACTCATACAGAAAATGAGTATTTCATTACATTTCTTTGACCTGATTGCAATTCCATTTTCCACCGATATACTGTACCTGGTTGCAATTCCAGCTTCCACCGATATACCTGGTTGCAATTCCAGATTCTGCCGATATACCTGGTTGCAATTCCAGCTTCAACCAATATACCTGGTTGCAATTCCAGCTTCCACTGATATATTATTGTTTTGTTTTCTTTCACGTTAAAGATGATATCTTTGCCTGTCTCTCCCTCAGTATCTTGTACATAGTAATCATATTATTTCTTTCTCTTCACTCAGGCTGTGAGATTGAGTTTCCTTAATTTGTACCCACAGTTTTGTCCATTTAATTCAGGCACAAGAAGTCTCCAATTTGGAAAGGGTGTCATTCAAAAATTTTTGAAAGATGCTCTTCATACTAATGTTCTATTTCTGTGGTGTTTTCATAGTGGCTTCTCAGAGCTTCTAACCCCATGACACCTGGAATATGGAACCCTTCAACTCAGTTCAAATACTTTATTTACCTAAAAACCTGAAAAAGAAACATTATTTTTCTTCTCAGTTTTGGGTTGATCCACAAGCTCATTGAGGGAGTCAGATTTTGGTCCTGGCTCCTGGTAGATAAAGTGGGTCTCAAAGGCCTGGTGCATCTTAATGCACCAACCCTTTTTCAAGGCTTGGCTAGACCAGCTTTTAGCTAAGGGAGGTACAATGGCTACTGCCAGAAAAGGGCAGTTCATTACCTTCAGTGCTTACTTTATGGTGCTTTATTAACTGTACTGTACAGTACTCTTAATCTTGTAATTAATGTTGTTTATTTCCACTACAGATGAGCAAATATTGGGTACGGGCAGTCTCGGGGTTTGATCCTGTTTTTAATCAAAGAGCAATGCTCTGTGGTTGGATTGGTGGACCTGAAGCAGAGTACATGGAAGGGCTGAGTGAGCACGAGGTGGGCCGAGAATGCACAAACCTTTTACGATGCTTCTTGAACTGGGATGTACCTTACCCTAAAAAAGTTTACAGGTATGTGTTATTTGTATTTTTATTTATAGGTATGTGTTGTTTGTATTACCTGAATTTTAACTTTTAGGTTATATATAGGGAGGCACAGAAGCAATACTTCATTGGGATTTTCAATAATAATATTTGTTGTAGGATCCATTAAGAGAACTCCTCCAAGTAGTTTATATCATTTTGCCTACCTTTCTGGGTCCTTCCCCGCTTAATGGTAATGACATACAGTACAGTAGTTTAAATGTAAAGTGCTCATTGGTCATTGCTCCCTGTGCCTCTCTTAGGAAACCAGGTTCTGCTTCGTAGTTCCTGGTAGGCATAAGAACTCCTGTGACTGATGGCCCCAAACTAATATAGCACATATCAGTTCATATAGCCTCAGGGAGTCGACGAGGCTCCCCACAGAACAGTATCTTGCAGCACAGTTGCAAATGATGAGTCACAATAACGTGGCTCAAGATATGATGACCAAACCACACACCAAAAGATGAGGAGACGACGAGATTTCAGTCTGTACTGGACCATTATCAAGTCGAATGTGATAGTGACATTTGACATGATGATGGTCCAGAACGGACCGAAACATTGTCGTCTTCTCATTTTCTGGTGTGTGGTTTGGCCATCATTGCAACACAGTTATTTAGTACCATAATGTATAATTGTTAGTGTGTGGGGACAGGGTGCCAAGTAACATCATGAAAGGTAATAACTTTGAACACTTTAAAAATACTGTTGGTTGGGTGTGAATGAAAATGATTAGATTTTAAAAGGACTTGCCTTGCATTGGCCAATAGGTCTACTGCATTTTTCTTATAACTATGTTCTTGCATTGTTTGAAAATGCACATTAGCTAAACATAATGGTTAAGTTTAGCACAGAGATTAACAAAATACGAAATTAAAATTTAAGTTATAAAAAATTTGTAACATAATTCCATAAGTTACAATAATGGAAAAGGGTGAAAAGCTTTTTCAAGCATTGTTAAATTGTAAAAACTTGCTAAAAATATTTGTGAAGAAATCCTCCACACGCAATACTATTTTGAGTTAGTATGTATGAATAAGTGTGCTAATATCATGATGATCACCTCCTGCTGCATTGATTGAATAGCAGTAAAAGTTGAGCCTGGCATTTGGCTGGTCTCGGAAGTAGAAGAACTCCCGAAACCCCCTCCAGGTATGCTCCAGGTACAGTATTTAATATTGTGCTAAGGCTCTTAATTCCTATCATTATGACAGATCTCAGTGGGCAAGTGATCACTTCTTTCAAGGATCTTATTCCTATCATCCTCTTGGTTGTGACTGCTGCAGTGAAGACTCGGAGAATGATCTTAACGTGCCAGTGTGTGCTCTTTCAAAGGACGGTGATGAGGTTAGTTGAGAATATTAGTGCATTATAAATGTAACATTGATATAATGAATTATATAGAACTAGATCTATTCTCAAATTTGAAGGTTTCTGTTGTATCAGGGTTTCAACTATTTACTGCTAAATTTTGCCTTTAAAATAGAAAATAAAAAATATTCTGTATATATAACTTGTATTTGCAAATATTAGTAAAGACTATATTTGCAAATTAGCCTTTATTCTGTATCTGTCTGTATTTTTCTGAATAAGTCACATGTCACTTTGTCTTTCATATTCATATACAGTACTGTACATCAAACATTTAATGAATATGATAGACCCACGTGTAAAAGCTGAAACAGTGATATGCACACATGATAGCAACTGCTTATTTCTTAATGGAAAAATGTTACACATGCACACACACTCACTAACGGGCTATGCAGCATTGCCAGTCAGTAACAAAATACTGATTTTGTTATTTCAACATCAACAATATCCTAATATTTCATGACGAGCTTTATGTGGTGTGTCCCAGTTCAGTACTAGTACAGTATCTAGAAACTAGATGTCTCATTATAAAGCCTGGTGCCCAATGTGACAAAACACTTTTCATAGTTTAGCTTCATGGTTTGAGGCTCACTCTGCTTGTGTACCTCACAAATTTCAGTCTGCTTTGGCTTGGTTTGAAGGCAGTACCCTACCCCTGGCTTTCATTTATGGTGACTCAAAAGCCACCAGTTCTCTTCTCCGAGGCTTTTTGGGCTACTCATCTTTCAGAATGCAGATGTGGTATGCGCAGACTTTGCAAAGGTAAACAAGATAAATGTGACCATAGAGTGATAGCCCACAAAATGAGGTCAACACAAATAACAGATAAAGGAGGACGATGGATATTCAATTTTCTGTCAAACCAAACAAACAGTAACAGTCAACCAAATAAAATTGAGTCTTAAGTACAGTTAAAAGCTTTGTACCTCAGGGTACAGTCCTTGTACCACTGCTTTTTCTTACTCTCATATCAGATATAGACAAAAATACAAGTCACAGATTGTCATCATTTGCAGATGACACAAAAATCGGCATGAAAATTACTTCTGTAGAAGACATTGAAAAACTACAAGTTGATACAAATAATGTTTTTGATTAGGCAGCTGACAATAACACGAAGTTTAACTATGATAAATTCCAGGTATTTAGATATAGTAAGAATAAAGACCTTAAGCAAAATACGGGTTACAAAACACAATCATATCTGGTCATAGTAGGAAAGCAACATGTAAAGGATCTGGGAATAATGATGTCCGACAACTTAACGTTTAGGGAGCATTACCAAGTAAATATAGTGTCAGCTAGACAAGTTATAGCATGGATTATGAGAACCTTCAAATCCAGGGATCCCATCACAATGCTCATACTATTAAAAAAAACACAAATCACATTAACTCACATTAACTCATTAACTCTTCTCACTCATATTATTTAAATCACTGGTGCTGTCCTGCCTTGAATATTGCTCAATACTCACTTCTTCCTTCAGAGAAGGAGAGAATGCTGAAATAAGAGGGAATACAGAGAACATATACAGCACACATAGACAATGATAAAGCATGCTAATTATTGGGATTGTCTCAAAGCTCTCAAAATGTACTCTCTAGAAAGGAGATGAGAGAGGTATCAAACAATATATACATGGAAGGTGCTGGAGGGTCAAGCCCTAAATTTTCACAGTAAAATAATAGCAAGTGAATGATATGGAAGGAAATGCAGAACATAACCAGTGAAGAGTAGATGTGTCAGGCACAATCAGAGAACACTGAACATCAGAGGTCCTTGGTTGTTCAGTATCCTCCTAGCAAATGTAATAAATATTGCAGGAACAAAAGTGGAAATCTTCAAGAAGTCCCTGACCAACCAGGCTGCAGTGGATATGTGATCCTACAGGCTACTCCAAGCAACAGCCTGTTGAACCAAGCTCTCACAAGTTAACCCTGGGCTGGGCTTGGGAAGTAGAACAACTCCCAGAACCTCATTCAGGTACAATCCAGAGTCTACACACTACAAGTGCTTTGGTGTCTTGCTCCCCAGTTGAGGACCAATTCTCAGGACCATTGGTATAACACATAGTATGATGAAGGAGGACACATATAGGTCCCCCACATGACTACATAACACAAGTCAACAAGACGGCACCTTGAAACATATCTGCCACTAAAGGCACAACTTGAACCCTCGGAGAGGACAGGAAAGCAAAAATGTAGATCAAAATCTATCCAGTAATATATACATATACGTCAGAGCTGAGGTTAATATATATGGTCCGCCTTACAGCACAGTATGTCCCCTTAATGTTCAAGTATGGTATTTTCAGTACATACAACGTTTTTTTTTAATTCTTCTGCCATTTTAATTTAGAGCATATAGCATCATCACTGTCACCACAGCACACGTGCAGAATCACATTACTGTATGTGTGCATTATGGATCTATAGTAGTGAACTTTTAAATTGAGTTAATATTATTCACATAATTATAATTTGCATGATGGTGGCATTCTACTTCAGATTCCATTGTTGGTTTTAGCTGGAGAAGCAAACAGCCGAGCTTATTACTCTACTGTCCACGGTGCACTGCAGAATGGAATAGAACAAACTGGACATTATGTCATCGCATATCGGAGGTAAATTATGCCTATGCTTTTTTATTCATCATGTAATGTCTAAATTTTTTTTAATTTTCAAGAAACTATTGCAATTTAATGTTTGTATTTATTATGTATCAAATCATTTCTCATTAACATGCTGGTGTGTAAATGCAGTCTCTCATTCAAGTGCAGCATTCTTGTTTATGCACAGCTCCATCTAACACTCATAACACGCTCATGCCTCCACACTGGCACTCATTTCAACCCCACTCCTCAACACTGATGTCCATCTCGCCCCCACTTTTCTGCACTGACACTCATCTCAGCTTCGCTTCTCTATACTGTCACCAGTCTCACTCCAATTATGTTTACTAACTGGGCTCGGCTGCCCCCAGACTGTGTGCCCGGCTGTTGTATGCGTTGTTTACTATTCAGAACCACCCCTAAAACCTTTCCTTGTCAGAGTTCATCAAACCTGTTCACACAACATTTAGGCTGTGTGTGGCTTGTGGATAGTATTGGCTTCAACAGCCACTTCAAACAATGCATTCCACTTGCCTACTTTCCATACAGGGAACAAGAACTTCCTTATGTCTCTTCAACTGAGTTACAAGTCTAGTTTCCACTAGCGTCCCCTTATACTCCTACCCCTTTTAATTTAAATAGGTTTCCTTTATCCACTTTATCTATTCTGCTCGAGATCTTGTATTTAGTTATAACATCCTGTCTGTGTTCTCTCAACCTGTCCTCACAGCTGAGAGACAATTCTGGTACTAATCTAGTTGCAAACCTTTGAACTTTCTCTTCAGAAACAGAAAGTGTGTTTCTCCTTCAGAAGATGTTGCATGCTAGAGCAGCATACTCAATGAATTGTCTCACATAGGTAGTATCTTCAGACATGAAAGCTTCCTTGTTTAGATTCTTAAAGAACGTTCTTATGATTCCTAATGTCCCATATGCTGTTGATGATGTTATCCTGCTCACATGAGCTTCTGGTGTTAGTGTTGGGATTATGTCTACTCCCAGGTTTTTTTCTCTTATTGTTTCTTGTAATTGCCTTTCCCTCATGGTATACATGTAGCTAAGTACTGGTCTACTATCTCCTCTACCCATTTTCATTAAGTTGCACTTATTTGGATTGAATTCCAGCAATCATTTATCTGCCCACTCCTGAAGTTTGTTAAGGTCTTCTTGCAGCACCCTACAATCTTTTTATCTCCTTTTCATCAGTTAATGCATCAGATGCATTAATTTTGCATCATCTGCAAACATCAACATGTACAAGCTCACCCCTTCTATGAGGTTATTTACATAAATTAAAAACAACAATGGTTCTAGGGCAGAGCCCTGTGGAACACCACTTTGCACTCCTCTCCAGCCTGACAGATCGTCTCTATGATCCTTTGTTTCCTTGTCTGTCAAATTCTCCCGTACCTTTTGTATCTATCTTGTGCATTAGCCTTTTGTGAATTGTATCAAAAGATTTTTGGCAGTCTAGGAAGATGCAGTATACTGAGCCTTTAATCACTTGTCTTATTTTTGGTGACCATGTCATGGAATTCATGGAATGTTTGTCAGGCATGATTTTCTCTCTCAGAAGCAGTGTTGTGCCACTGTATGTATGGAGGTATAGTATGATCTGTATGTCTGTCTTTATATATTTGCCTGTGTATACATGACATTCCATTCACCTGGGCTGTAGGAGGCTCGAAACAGTGGACCCGGACACATGTGAGGCCAAAGCTCTATCGACCGAGCTATTGAGTAGTCTTCAGTACAGTACTATTCAGTAGTAGTCAGGGGAAAGTAAAAAATTTCAGTTTGGCGGCACGATGCTGCTTCTGGAAACTTTCCTTATTAATTTAAGACTCCTCAATAGCTCGGTCGATAGAGCTTCAGCCTCATGGTTCGAGTCTCCTAGAACCCAGGTGAATGGAATGTTTATTTCCACGGACGTGTGGAAGACAATTTATATACATGACATTGTTTTGTTACATTGATAACAATTTGATATCTAAACTACTCTCTTGCCTTATGTGAGTAGATGCCTCCCAAACCCATGAATGTGGGGAAATGAGGTAATGATGCTGATGGTATGTTGTACCTTCGGGTCCAGCTGGTGGTGTCATTAACCGAAATGAACTGCAAGCTAATAAAACAAATGTTGGTAATGCTTAGGTGACAATAATGTTGTTTTGTTTTGTTATAGGTTACGTGGTGGTCGGTGCAGCATCAAGAGTAAAATATAATTCTATGGTTTATTGATCAAATTTGCAAAGTGCTTATTTGCATATTTGATGAGACTATATATCAGCACAAGAGCTGTTTGCTTCACAATGTTTATTAAGTAATCATTAGGATATGGTGATAATAGTAGGATATTGTACAGTATAAAAATTTAATATTTTAAATTTTACTGACAGAATTTATTCATGATTTTAAATGTAGAGTATCAAATTTTATTATTAATGTATTTGCCAAAATAATACTGTAGTGTACTGTATAGTTTTATATTGCAGTGAAGTCTTGCTCAAATAGACCAATTTGTTCCAGACTCCTCTGTAGCAAAATAATTTCCATTACATCCTACCGTTGCTGTCTCTTGTTACCGTATGCTGCAAATATGCCTTTTTGTTTAGGGAAAGCAAAACAAAACAAAAACAAAAAACATGCTTTTTATGCATATTTTGGATACAAAAATCATGTAAAAAAAGTAAATGTTTGATATTAACATTAATATTTTAGTGAACCTTGTTAAGCTTCTAATATTTTCCCTGCTGACTATTTGCAACAATATTATATCTGGAATTATTTCTTTTCCCATGCATGTAGTCTTTCATTTGACTGAATTTTATTTGAGCAAGACTCCTCTATACTGTACAGGGTACAGTACTTAAACCTTTTATTCTAAATTATAAAAATAACTTGAACTTCCAAGATTTTTGTACTATGCATGTTCCAAAATTCAATAACAATAATCAATATTGTTATTCCAAATGTCTGACATATAAAAACAGTGTGTTAATGCAGAATAATCACAGTTTTGGAGCGCGTGTGAAGCGTAGCATCCGAGACATAACTGTTTCCTGTCCACTGTATGCGAACTAACGAAGTACTACTGTACTTACGTTGCAATAGTACGATACGTGTTGTAAAGATATAGGTAGTGAAATCAGTTTAGAAACGCTTTATATAGTATAGGCAAGGTGAATACACTTCCCTATTGTATTTGGGGAAATGTGAGGGCAAATTGTTATACAATGCCCACACATTTAGCATAATTTTTCCATTAATATTTATTGTTTACCCATTAATAAAATAGCTAGTACTCAAATGTGCCTAAAGACTAAACCCACATTAAAAATATAACAATAAAAATAAAAGGATGCATCATTGTACCTTTACGCTGATGGATCCTATAACAATACCCAAGGCTATTAGTATAAGACAACAGTTTTGATGTGATAAGAGTCCAGGGTAGAGTAACATGTTGTCAGTTTGATGTTTCTTAGGTGTAAGGTTTAGCGTTAATGTTCCAACTGCAGTACAGCCAAACATCTAAATAATTTTAATCAAGATATTTTATATACGTACTGTATAAAAAAAAACTCCCGATTCTGACATTTGTCTGTCTTCTTGGTCTCAAAATACAAATACTAGAACAGTAGACCAAAAAAAAAAATTAATTTTACAAAAATTTCTTTATTATATTTTATCGTTGTATTTATACAACCTAATTTATAAAGTTAAATTACACAAGAAATATGTAAAGTAGCAAGTACATACCTAAATGAAAAAAATGCCCAGTGGTCTGACTCAAACTATTTCAAGTGTTAGATGCTTGACTGTATTTGTGACTCCATTTTTTTAAAAGCAGTGCCAAATGAAGTACAATTACAAATGTAATGTGTGCGTGCCGATAGACCAACGAGACCCATCAATCCATCTAGGCCTGGATATTATTTTTGGGTCCAGCCCAGATAATCAATTTGCTGCGCACAGTATCATTGTTTGTGTCATACTGTAAGTATTTATTGTGCGTGCACTCATAAGATAACATGTATTGTTAGATAGAGTGGCTACAGGGTCTAACCATGTAAATATGAAATCAAATGTAGGTTACTGACATTTGTGGCTGCTCTAGCTATTTAAATATAAAGTTTACAAGGGAAAAAATTAATGCAGTTTATTAATATGAAATCAATAAATAATATGGTTTTATGTGCTCTCCTTCCATTTGCAAATTGTTATACAATGCCCACACATTTAGCATAATTTTACCATTAATATTTATTGTTTTCCCATTAATAAAATAGCTAGTACTCAAATGTGCCTAAAGATTCATCATTTATTACTATGTGATTCTTAGATTGTATTATGTATTTTATTTTGCATTTTAAATTCTAAATTCTCTCGCCAAGAGCCTCCCAAGGGTTAAATAGTGTGCGGCAAACTCAATCGTCTATGTATGATGTGAGCCATTTCGTGACAGTTACTCCTATTGTCTATGTATGTATTGCTCCCTTTAAGGGGTTATATTGGCTGCTTCTCGAAGCATCTGAGAACACATTAACTATTGTTAAATTACATACTAAAGATATGTTTCATAATTGTGAAAATTGATCCAAGGGTGTGATGGAGTCGAGTGCCCATGCCAGATAAAAATAATACTGGCTCCACCATACACTTGGGACAAGGATGTACGAGGGTGACTGTGGCAAGTGGCGCCTCTGTTGTGTTGTTAAGTGGGAAGCACTGTCGGTGATTGATGTATGAAATATCCATGCCCTCGTGGATAGGTCACCACTTTTAGTCAGTTGACTCAATTGACTCGATGGATAGCATGAATAATTAATCAGTTGCTGTAGATAAAAACATTAAAACCATATGTGTAATGTGCTCCAAACACTTCTCTGAGAAGCAGTATTGTGCCACTGTTATGTATGGAGGTATGGTATGGTATGAGGGAGAATACTCCCGATTTGATGAGTTCCATAGGGTCCCTGGGTATATTAAAGTATACATACATACTGTATATATACTTGAAATACTGTATTTTACACTAAACAGTTTTAAGATAATATTGGTGCGTAGATCATCTTGCATATAAAGAACTTAAAATGTTTTAGTGTTAACTGTTAATGTTCATAAAGATTTTAAAATTATATTAGTGTACATTTAATCAAGAAATTAAATTTCAGTGCAGTTACTGGCATACAAAATAATTGCATTGAATTTTATTGTTATTAATTAATTTTTCTTCATGGTACTGTAACTAGAAGATTATTAGACTATGTTAAACATAGAGAGGTTAAATTTTCTATATATTTTTGCATAATGACATCTCGGTTATTTACACACATTTTTCAGAAGTACAGTATATTTGTAATATATTGAGAACAAGTCAAGCATATATTCTTCTGCTGTAATGTATATATATATATATATGGTGTAGTAATAACATACTAATGTAATATGTATGATATACAGTAGAATCACAATATTTTGCGAGGCATTTGTAAGATTTCTCAAAACGCCCAGTTGTGAAAATTAGGATGTTCTATTAAGGTGGATTTAGGAATAGTATGTAAAAAAAATATTCATGGTGAAGGAAAGATGTACAAATGTATTAAAAACCAAATTTTCTGATGTAACCTACATCCTTTCTCAATGTGCTGTGTACAGCACCTTGAAAAAGGATGTAGGTTACATCAGAAAATTTGTTTTTAAATACATTTATAATACATGTACTGTATATTGGGTTTTTCCTTCATATAAATTCAAGCACTACAGCATTGTAGTAAGCATATAGTTTTGAGAAGCAGTGAGAAGCATGCTCTAGTTAACCCTGAGGAGCAGTGATTGTTGAGTACACTCATTATTAACCTAGTTTATTATAAGTGTATAAAAGTTTAGACAGAGCTTGTTGTATTATCAATGTATATTGTATTTTATCAGCTTTTAGAGTTCCATAACAATTAAGTGCAGATGAAACTTAAGATAAAGACCACCAAATTTTCATCCTTTTGCTACCAGAGACTTACTTCCTCATACAAGATTAACAATTTACATAGAAAAATCATTATAATGATTGTATTTTTCGATTGCTAAAAACTGTTTTACAAAATGACCCTCACAAGAAAATTGGATTGTACTGTATACAATATATAATTTTGGGGTGACTGCCAGTTCTATACCTCATCCAGTTTTGGTGCTTTTAGGGGTAACTTGATTGTCAATTCCTTTTCTAAGATTATAGCATGTAAGAGTAACTATTGTAAGTAAAAAATGTACAGTATATAAATAAAACAGGTTTTAACTAAAAATTCAAATAATATTTGCCCAGTTGACATTTTAATGACTACAACAAGCGCTTGTAAAATCTTAGTAAAACCTGTTTTTAAAACTTAAAAAGTAACCTTTTGCCTGGTGGGGGGTTCTGTCATTTTATTCAGTTTGTTTTTGCCCTTCCACTGTTCTCCTCGGTGGCGCCCCCTGCTAGGTCCCCGTGAGTGTACACGTCCCTGGGGTTCAGCTTTAGAAGTTTGCTTGGTAGTTTTGGGCGCCGGTTTGCAGCACCCTGCCTGGGACTACCTGAGCGCGAGTCCTCTTAAAGTAAACGCTCAGGACCCTGGGAATCCCCTAGGGGGCGCGTGGGTCCGATGGATGTGACCCCGGAGTCCCCACTCGCTGTGTGCGAGTTTGAGGGTTGCTCGGTCCCCTTGTCTCAGGGTGACCCTCATTGTTTTTGCCTCTGCCACGCTGCCTGTTGGGTCGGTGATACTTTCGACCCTGAGTCCTGTGAGTGTTGCTGCTTGCTTGTGACTCAATTTACCCAATCCTCTGATGATTCTCTTCGGGTACAGGCGGCACGTGCGTTGCAGTCTAGGTTTCGTCTGTTGCAACGCGCTCGGTTGGTTGCTTCCCCGGATGCCCCGGGGCTGCCCCGCTTTGCTTTTCGAGACCCGGACTTGGGGGTGGGGGTCGCTTCGATCCTGGTTCAGTCCGCACCTCCTCGTCCTTCCCCTTCTGTTCGTTCTGGTCCCCCGCCCCTGCTTCCGGCCCCGAAGCGTCTGAGGGTTTCGGGGTCGGAGCAGGGGTTACTTGATCTCGAGACTCGGGCAGCTTCGGGGGTTGCCCCTTCCGGGGGGGCGGCAGAGGCATTCGAGTCTTGTCTCCCGGCCGAAGCTTCAGGGTCTGACCAGTGGACCCCCCTTCCTCCAGCTTTTCCGGCTGCTCCGTCCTTGTCTTGTGGGGTCGGGGCTTGGGGAGAGGACTCGGCCTCGGGTCCTGTGGTGACGGACCTCGAGGCTGGGGAGGGGCTGACTTGGGGGCCTTGGGCCCCGCTGGACCCCGCCTGGGTTTTTCTTCCCACTGAGCGGGGCTTATTGTTACAAGGAGTGGGGTTTTCTTTCCCCCCCTCTGCGTACGAGTTGGATTTGGTGTCGGCCCCTCCCCGGGTACGGTTCCGTGTTCCCCCGGGTACGTCGGTTCCGTCCTTCCGGAGGTTTTCGGCTTATCGCATCCAACCTGGTGTGGTGCGAGCGGCCTTTGCAGCTTACCTCCTGCGTGACCCGGATTATGCCTCAGAAATGGATCCGTCCACGTTCAGGTTTGGGACTTCGTTCCCTTTCTGGCTCCGTTACGAGGTTCCGGAGTCATCCTGGCTAGCAGACTGCCCCTTGTTTGGTCTGGATTCCTGGCATTCCTTCTGTCGTTCCCGCACGCTGGAGTGGCGGGAAGCTTCCACGGTGCTTCAGGTTTTCCTGGGGGGTGACCTTGAGTACCTGAATGAGTGCTTGTTTGTCCCTGCCCTTCCCCGCGATGTGGGCGTTATTCAGCTCCATGTGCAGGTTCCCTCCCTTTCGGCGGCGCTCGTGGCGGAGGACTTGCGCGCTCGGGGCCTTTTGTGTTCGGCCTTGCGGTTCTTTTCCCTCCTGGAGCTGTCTTCGGATTGGCTCGTGGAGGATGTGGGGACGCTTGGGTCCGTCCCGGGGTCCGGCACCTTGTCCTCGGCTGCGCGTTCGTCGGCTGCCTTGTTGAAGCTGTTCACGCCGATTTTGCGGGATGCGGTTTCCCTGTTCTATGCTTCCCGTCTCGCGTGTCGGCAGGCGGTGCTGGGTTCCTCCGTGGAATCTGCTTGGGCTCTGGCTCTTAGGCGTTCTTCACCTTTTTGTCCTCTCCTGTTTGGGGAGTCGGCCGTGGCGCAGTTTATTCAGGCTGCGTCGGCGGCTTGTCGTCCGTGTCGGACTTGTTGGTTTTCCGGGGGTCCCGGGGTGGGTCTTCCCGGAAAGGTCGTGCCAGGGCTCGGGGTTCCTCTCGTCGTGGTAGGCCTCTGGTGTCAGGTTTGGGGTTGGCTCCTCCTGCGGACCCTCCCTCGTCTGGTCGGCGCGGTGTTCGCGCTGTGCGGGGTTCTGGGTCTCGTAAGGGTCGCCGGCCCTTTCGCGGTTTGCCCCTTTGACGGGGCGATGGGGGGGCGGCTTGCGCTGTTCGCCCGCGCCTGGTCCCACGATTCGTGGGCCTTTCGGGTCGTGTCTCGCGACCTGCGGTGGCGTTGGGTGGCCCCTCCCCCCTTTGGGGGGTCGGGGCTGGCGGGGCAGGCTTCTTCCCCTGCGCTCTGTCGAGTTGTCTTGGAGTGGGTACGCTTGGGCGTC